CACCGCCCTGCTGGAGCGCCTCCTCGTACTTCAACAATTCGTAGGCAAACCGAAGATGTGGTTGAATGATGACGTTCAGGCGTCGGGCTCTGACATAGCAATACGCATGAGGGAAAGACATCTGCTTCGATCGCATAACCTCGGCAATACAGATAGTAGCGCTTCGAGATACTCCTACGCGGCAGTGCACCAATGTTGCAGTGCCGTTTCGACGGCCCCGATCTTTTCCTCACAATTAGCTTCCGCAAGTTCAACAGTTATCTGCAGTGTCATAAAACCTACCAATAAAGTCGAGACATCGAGTGAACTCTTCAGTCAATGGATCGATGCCATTGTCTTGAACGCCCTGAACCACGCAAACATTCTCCTTGCCCCAGTCCTCAAGATCGCCCTCTCGCCACATAGCTGTCTCGCCAACACTCAGGACCTGGGTGATGCCAAGGGCCCGTAGGAGATCTGGATTATTGGCATGCCCCAGATTACCCAAGTACATATAATCCAAGACTCGACTTGGGAATGATCCATCCAAGGCAGCGAACCAGCTCGGCTCATCCCTGGTCAAATGAGTGATATCAGTCAGGCTCAAGCCTTTGCAAACAGGAGACTCTCGGAGCAATCGTGGTGTGATTGAGGTCAATAGTGCGACATCAGTGGGATAAGCGAAGAAATTCCGCTTCTTTTCAGTGTGGAGTTTAAGCCATGCTTCAGGAACAGGCCGTCCAGTACTGTAGCTGAAGTACGCAATGCTCAACATAGTCGACTCGGTATAGCCATCGGCACAATGGAGTAAGATCTTGCGAGGCTTGACCTCAAAGATAGGTTGCTGATCTGAGGGCATAGGCGAGTCTCCCTCAGCGTCCAGATCATCTATGCCCAATGCTGGTTCAGGCTCGGGATACGAGCCATGAGCAAGATGGTAGATCCATTTACAGGTTTCGAGGATACCGTCTGCTTCGGAGTGTGACCAAGTCGGGGGGAGGATGCTTCCGGACGATGGGAAATCAAGAAATCGCTGTTTGTTGTCACCATCAGGGCTTTCGGCAATGAGCTGGAGAGCCAATGGGTTCAGCCGACCGAGATCGCTGCACTCAATCAGAATGTCGTATTTCTGCTCTTCAGGACTTCCTTGTTCAGGCGTAGGGCCCATGAAGACGTTTTTGGAAAATTCGGATGCCTCCGTCATCGCCCACATCTCTCGTCTCTCCTGGTTGAAGAAATCAAGGACATTGCCTGTCATGTGGCTAGACGCGTCTACGGCCACTATTTCAGGGTGATTTTCTTCGAATTCTGAGAATGGGCTTGTGCAAACATACGTATGATACTCTGGCATCCAGAAACCTTGATCTTCATTTCTTTCGTGCCATCGCTTCTGCGCACTCGCGATATCCCATGCCACTTTACGAGTTTTGTTCAAATCCTGACCATAAACAATTATGTCCGACAAAACAGCAGTTTTTACTGTCTGGATTTGAAAGTTCCTAACAGAAAACCCCTCCCGAGGATCCGCATCAATAAACTCAGTGGGCTTGTTTGCTTGAACGATTTCATTCGGAGCAACCGCCCCCTTCAGCCGCGCACAGTTTAGATCTCCGTCAGCTTGGACAAGAGTGACAGATCTGATACAAGAGGGGGTGCGCCGAAGAGGTCGTCGTCGAGTAGCAAAGAACGACTGCTGAACATGGTTCTGCGGGTGTAGACCATGGAACCATGGGAAGACAAGGGCTGGGTCAGGCAGCGGTTGTCGTGAAGCAACGTCGAGGGCCTGGGCGACACTAGATGCATCAAGCTCATAAATAGAAAGCTCGCCTGACTCGAGTCTTTTAAAGCCATCAAGTGGATATAGAGCTGAGGTCTGTTGCAGCTGGTCTTGAGACGGAGGTGATGGCGGTGGAGTATCAGGCTCGTCTGGGCGAGCAGGTCCAGTTGGACATATGGGAAGATGCTTATTAGGGACGGGAACTGAGCATGGTGAAGTAGAGCTAGAGCTAGATTCAAGAGAGAGTGGCGGGGTGATGGTAGACGAGGGACGGTGAGGTGGGATTGGTCGGGCGAGGGTGATGGTAGTCATATCAGCGAGGGGAACAGATAGCTGATGTTGGACAGCTTGTGATGGCAAAAGACGGTTCCGACTGGCGTAATCGAGTAAGGGTCTGGGCGGGTTCAAAAGCAGTATGTTATACAGAAGAATATGGCCCAAATGGGGTGTCTAGTAATTCGATGGAACAGTCAGACAGTAATTCGAGACAGTTTTCAGACCAAGAAATGCAATTTGCTTTGCTCTCCGACTCAGCCACAAGACGTTGAGTAAGCAGTAATCAAGCGGACTCTTGGAAACAGATGCAATTATGGATGTATTCCAAAACTGAGGCACACACGGATTTGTTATTGCTGCAAATGGGCAATCGCTGCACATGCCTGAGCTCACAGGATATGAGACAGAGCACGAGGAAGCAAGCCACAGCGTCGCTGGGTGGAATGAGAGCGATGAGATGGAGATTGCAGGAAGATAGATCCCGGAGAACTGAATTGGGGGAATAGAGGTTGTGTTTATGACTGCTCAAGTAAAGACTTGGTCCCGAACGTACAATATCGTCGATGCCGAGACGCAACGGCAATGGAAGGATAAATCAATCGAGAAATCCAAGTATGAATCGACAAGAAGCTCGCAACAGCAGAGAGAAGATAACAAAGTAGTAAGCGAGGCGACGACGCTTTGGGAATCGTCACTGCTTATCGAAATGGTCGATCGACGGCCGCAGGCGAAGGAATCGAGATGATGGCGAGCAAAAACACAATTAGAGGCACAGAGATGGATATTTAATAGCCTAACATGAAGATACCAGTCAATGTCATCAAACAAGATGAATACAGTGGCCAAGAAGATGAAGGAGGGGAGTAGAGTAGAGAAGAGGGGAACGGACCACGACCGGCAATCGGATGGATAGTCGACAAAGGAGGGTTTCGTAGTGGTGGTGATTTGGTTTCGGTACTGTTTTTGGCTTTCTTGGTTGGGTTGGGTGGTTTGACAACGCGGTTGGTTGGATGAGTGGATGGCGAATGCTATACTGATAAGGGTAGTCCCTTTTGGAGGTGTGCCGTTCGTACTGTACAGTGCTTCCCTCAGCCTAGACACGAAAATGCATGCCTACCTGCCTACTTACCAAGAGACAGTTCAGTCTGTCAGTCATTGACGAACAAATTTGGCTGGCTGGCGTTTGTTGAATCACTGGAGAGAAACATCCAATCCATTGCAATGCGGTGATAGTGGCCGAACGACACAAGTGGTTTAGGGGCACGGACCAATCAAACAAGACCATAGCCGGTCTTTAGCGGGGAGCTGGCGTTAGCTTACCGCTGTAATTGGCGGGGAGCTGCATTCAGAGGCGGGGAACTGCCTCCCACAGCACGCTAGGCTTTGGTCACAGTGCACCTCAATTCCATAAGCACGGGCTGAACGACCAGCAGGCTCAACTTGATTGGCTAGGAAAGTGATGCAGGATTGAGGTTATCAGACGCTGCAATGCACATGGGTTAGATGGAGAATTTGCTGATATCAGATGCGCTTGGGATCACGAGATCAATTGAACGCAAATCTTTGCAGCATGACAAACTCCCAGTCCACCATATGCGAACGTGAGGTGATGTTGTGGCAATGTGAGGCCAGTATTGAGGCGAAGTTAAGTGAGTGAGGAGGACTGCAGACGGACACCACGGGCCAGACCCAAGACAAAGCCGGTGCATTAGCGCCCTGCGCCGAGGACAGCGGAGGACAGAGCTCCCTAGACTCCCTTGTTCTCCCCACCACCTTAAACTTGATGCTTCCCGTCCATCCACAAGAAACCTCCAATTGCTCCTCTTCCAAGTACCTACAGTACGTTGGTATCTTTATCGACGATAACCAACGCCTTGAATAGATTTGATCAACAATATATCAGATATCTATCTATGCACTTTGGCGGCAAACATCTCGAGCAAGTCATAAGGCATCCCTGCTTCTACCATGAAGCCACAATATGGCATACTCCCAGACTCGCATCACACGATCAGCAAGCTACCTATCCTATCCCATCCTACCCTAGGAATCAGCATGGCTGGCAAGCGTCCCTCTCCAGACTCCACCCTAACCCACGACCCCATAGCATCTCCTTATCCAGTTTAGCACATAGAGGTCTCGAACTACCCGGCATTCGATCTTGTTCGTTTGCCATAGTAGGAATCAAACCAGGTGAGGCTTGCGACTTATCGTCAATCAAACGAACATCAGTCTAGCGGATAGTGACGAGGTTACACCAGAGACCCCTTGACCCCTCACACGCGATATCATCCCGTGAAGATCTTGCTTCATGTCCCCTACCTCGTTATCTCAGCGCGGATCGCCATCCTCTATAGCCATAACAATCAACAATGTCTGTTTCAGGAGCCGTTTCAAAAGACCACGTTCGCAGTTTTCGCGAAAGTTTTGTGAGTTGCATAGTTCACTCATTCTTTCTGTGCCTATGTTTTGCTTGTGTGAATCTGTGAAGCGAGCCTTCATAGGCATTTAAGAAGAAATAAGTGTTTGTAACATCTCGATAGGTCTGGGTATAAACTAATTAGCCTCTTTTCTTGCGTATTAATCTTGAACGAGAGTGAGTGAGAGAGTTGATGTTTGTAATCACTTGTTTGTTATATGCTCTCAGATGTCTCAAGTTGACTTATCTTGGATACGTGCAATTCTTCCAGAGCAGCAAGCCTGTTTGTGAATAATGGGGCATTACTTCTTAAGTGGGCTGTATCTATCTCTCTCTTTCATCGAGGTATAGATTAATCAATTCATTTACCTTGATACCTTGACATCTTGGCACCTTGCCTCACCTCGGTGGGGTTCTCTCGGTGTAATCGACGTCTGAGGCCCTCACCGAAAGTTGTCTTGCCCTTGGTGACATCAGCGCTCGTGCACGTGACCTCGCGACGCTCAGCTTTGATCACAAAGAACTTCACGTCACGCCTCACGCCCTTTTGCCATTTTTGTCGCTATTCATCACTTCGACCTGCAATAAATCGCCGAGGGCTTGCCCCGGTAGTCAGCTATCGGTTCATCATGAAGTTCAACATCGAGTACGACATCATTTCTTCTCAGGGCACCCCTTTTACTCACATCATCTAGTGACCTGCCTGTGCTATTCCCTTATCCCAGGATATATCCAGGTAGGCATTAATAAGCGCGAGTCCCATTTGTTGAAGCTAACTTGGTTTTCCCAGAGCAATATGCGTGAGTTGTTGGGCGTTGTGGTGTCTGAATGAGTGAGATAGACTGACTGTGAGGCGCATTAAGCTACATGTGTGATCTCAAAAGTACTTATCCCTTCTATCGCTGAATGTATTCTGATTGCTGACACGACTACCCATTACCAGAAACACTAGATGCAGGGGGCCACTGTGTTCTGGAAATGCCTTCGGGCACAGGCAAGACCGTGTCTCTTCTGTCTCTCATTGTTGCGTACCAACAATACATGCCTGAGAAGCGCAAGCTGATCTACTGCTCTCGTGAGTAACACTTGATCTCACCCGTCTATTGCTGACTTATGCCTTAACAGGTACTATGTCCGAAATCGAAAAGGCACTAGTAGAGCTGAAATCTCTCATGAAATACCGAGCTGAGCAGCTCGGTTACGAAGAAGAGTTCCGTGGTCTAGGCTTAACAAGTCGAAAGAACCTGTGTCTGCATCCTTCAGTCAAGCGTGAGAAGAGCGGTGCCATCGTCGATGCCCGTTGCAGGAGTCTCACGGCCGGCTTTGTCAAGGAGAAAAAGGAACGTGGAGAAAACGTAGATGTATGCGTGTATCACGATGTAAGTCTCGGGGAACCTCAATCTTTTTTCTCCATTACATACTGAGCCAGTGATACAGAACCTAGACCTTCTCGAGCCTCACAACCTTATTCCTAATGGCGTTTGGTCTTTTGACGACATGATTCGATATGGTGAGGAGCATAAGCAATGCCCATACTTTACTGCACGGCGAATGGTGAGTATTTTCCCAATCTTGTGGCTCATGCATAAGTGATTCTGATGCTCTGCTCCAGATGCAATACTGCAACGTCGTAATTTTCTCATATCACTACCTGCTTGACCCCAAGATTGCCGAACGGGTATCAAAGGACTTTTCCAAGGACTGCATCGTTGTTTTCGATGAAGCTCACAACATCGACAATGTTTGCATTGAATCTCTCAGCACAGATATCACAGAGGACTCCTTGCGTAAAGCCACAAGAGGAGCTCAGAATCTAGAGAACAAGATTTCACAGATGCGCGATACAGACCAGCAGCAACTACAGAATGAGTATGAGAAACTAGTTCAAGGACTGCGTGATGCTGACGAGGCACGTCAAGAAGATGCCTTCATGGCAAATCCTGGTAGGTTGAAGTGTGAAATCCATTTTCTTAATTGCAAAGTGTTAACCAATCCGCAGCCCTTCCCGAAGACTTACTCAAAGAAGCTGTCCCGGGGAACATTCGGAGAGCAGAACACTTTATTGCGTTCCTCAAGAGGTTCATCGAGTATCTGAAGACGAGGATGAAAGTGCGCCAGGTCATCTCTGAAACACCGCCTTCGTTCCTTGCCCATCTCCGGGAGCATACTTTCATCGAGAAGAAGCCTTTGAGGTTTTGCGCTGAACGCCTGACATCACTGGTTCGGACCCTCGAGCTTACCAATATTGAAGACTACCAGCCACTTCAGGAGGTTGCGACTTTTGCAACACTGGTGGCGACGTACGAGAAAGGCTTTCTCCTCATCCTTGAGCCTTTTGAGTCCGATACTGCTGAAGTCCCTAACCCGGTTCTTCACTTCGCCTGTCTTGACGCTGCCATCGCTATCAAGCCCGTCTTTGACAGGTTCTACTCTGTCATTATCACGTCTGGTACTATTTCTCCACTGGAGATATATCCCAAGATGCTGGATTTCTCAACTGTCATTCAAGAATCCTATGCCATGACCCTCGCTCGGAGATCCTTCATGCCTATGATTGTCACTCGAGGCAGCGATCAGGCTTCCGTCTCAACCAGCTTTCAAGTGCGAAATGAACCCAGTGTGGTTCGAAACTACGGCAACCTACTCACTGAATTTGCTAAGATCACGCCAGACGGGATGGTTGTCTTCTTTCCGTCTTATCTTTATATGGAATCTATCATTAGTATGTGGCAAGGAATGGGTATCCTTGATGAAGTGTGGAAGTACAAACTGATTCTCGTGGAAACACCCGATGCACAGGAAACCTCGCTTGCTCTGGAGACATATCGCACAGCGTGCTGTAACGGTAGAGGTGCGGTTTTGCTCTGTGTCGCTCGAGGAAAGGTATCCGAAGGTATCGATTTCGACCATCAATATGGTCGTACTGTGCTGTGTATTGGAGTTCCATTCCAATACACCGAGTCACGTATTCTCAAAGCTCGTCTTCAGTTCTTGAGAGAAACATACCGCATCAAGGAGAATGACTTTCTCTCCTTTGATGCAATGCGACACGCTGCACAGTGTCTAGGTCGAGTCTTGCGTGGTAAAGACGACTATGGAATCATGGTCCTTGCCGACCGTCGATTCCAGAAGAAACGCTCACAGCTACCCAAATGGATCAATCAAGGCCTACAAGAGTCAGACGTCAATCTGAGCACCGACATGGCCGTCAGCAGCGCAAGGCGATTCCTTCGGACTATGGCGCAACCGTTCCGGGCTAAAGACCAGGAAGGTATCAGCACCTGGGGATATAAAGACCTGATGGAACATAAGGAGAAGATGGATCTAGAGAGGATTAAGGAGCTTGAGGAGGAAGCTCAACGGCCAAAGCCTGCCGCACAGGACAACAATTTCGAGTACGACGATGACGAGTTTGACCAAGATATGATGGAGATGGATGGTTTCTAGATCTCGTTCGAGCAATTACGATACCAGATGTTAACGATTTAGACTGCAAGGCCAAAAGCACATCAAGTTCTATCATATTATTTAGATTAATCAAAGAATGCCAAACCCCGTCTAAGGTTGGTTATAAGGCCCCTTGTGCAATGCTGATTCAACTTGGACAGAAATCTAATCAAGCCTTCCCTTTGACTGATTTCAAATACAATGCCAGAACGCCGAATGCTATCCGTTTGCCCATCTCGCGCCTGCTCTATCAAAAGAAATAAAGAGTAAAACAAGGATATCATCTGCTCTATGCCCTGAAGGGAAGAACAATAATCTAATCTACCAAAAGTCTCTTGGCAGCTTTCGTAGCTCGGAAGGCGGGAATAGAATGAGCCCGACCCGGCTTTCGTCCAATCTCGATGCAGAGCATTCGAATAAAATCGTGGTTAGTCCAATAGCTGGAGTGCGCACTGAGCATGTTGAGGTACTGTATCTCCAAAGGCCCTCCCCCTGAGCGGAGATACCAGTCGATTTGCCCGTTGTCGTTAAGCAGAAATGCCTTTCTTTCTGCAATTTCCTCGCGGGTAAAGTCGTGTACCTCGAGCTCTAACTGAGAAGGTAATCGTATCGTTGAAGGCCGCTCAGGCTCCGGGATGAGAGGGTTCGGTGCTGGTGCCATGCCTGGTACTACTCCTCGCATTGCGGCGCCGACAGACTTCCACAGAGAACCCGAAATGCTAGGGACGTAAGCCTTCTTGAGGCTCGCCGCGTAGATAGGATCCACGGCGCCATTGAGAAGGTACGCGATGGGATCTTCCTTGGCAAGGATGTTGTATATGTTGTCCACAGCCAAACACCCGAAAGTCCCGGCCTCTGCTACAACGTCTTTTGATACGATGTCGGTCGAATCAGCTCCAGGCTTCATTCGACCATGGCGAGGCATAAGGACACCACGCTCCAGAAGAAGAAAGAACCCCGCAGGACTGCCCGCCAGGAAAAGATTCTTGGTATCAAACTCGAAGAAGCGTGTCTCGGGTTCTTTGCGAGACCAGTCCAGCCTTGGCACTGTGGTTGGTTGTTTTGAAAGAATCTCAAGAGCCATCGCACTCCCAAGGGAATGTCCGATCATGTGCACGCGTCCATTCTCAGAAAAACCTGGATTGTTACGGCACCAGAGTCGATAGACACGATTTGCTTCTGATACAAGAGCCTGGATCATTTTCCCTTTGTGGTGTGACATGTAAAAGGGGATGTCGAACATGATGTCTGATATCATGCTGCGAACGGCTGGGATCGTATCAGGTTCGATGTCCTTGAGTCCAAACCCCTCTGGCGTGTATTCCTCCTTATCTTCTTCCCTCATTGGCCCTCCATCCTCAAACGAGAGGCCCATTCTCCAATTCAGGGGCAAAATCATCAGTCCATTCTGATCGTCGCGCAGAACCTGCTTGACCAAAGGGCTCTGAAGTTCCATATTCACAGCTCGGCGAAATCCATTGATGGCATGAGTGAAATGGAAACTCTCAACCCTCTCCGCAAATTTCTGGCCAATGCCGTGAGCGACAAGAACCAGATCAGTGACTTGACGCTTCTCCTTGTCGGCTTTGCAAGCAGCGCATACGTCTTGTCCACGGCTTTCGTGCGACTCATCAGCAGCAGAAGCACCTGCTTTGTTTGGTGCCTGTTTCTTATGATGGAGGCGCTCCCATGCTGCTCGGTCGAATCCTCGAGCAACAGGAATTCCAACAGTGACACCTTTCATGATCTTCGACGCCGGTCGTCGGCCATAGTATGCTGATGGTTTAAGGCTCGGTTTCAGTAGAAAAGCTTCAGTAGCATTCTTGTACAGGACATGGTAGTTTGAATACGGTCGTGTCGGGATATGCGTGTCTTCCGCTGTGGCCTTCTTCACGGGAGTCGTGTCAATACTACCTTCAGCAGCAGCTTCACCCCGAAAGCAGCGAGCAGCGCAAAATGGATCTGATGGTATAACTGGCTCGGGGAAGTCGTCTCCAGATCCTATCTCTGAATCCTTTGGCCATAGTCTGTGCGAAACCTTTTCTTCACCCAGTGGTCCCACATCGATAGCACATCGGAGTTCATCACTCCATGTCTCAGTCCATGGTCGTAAATAATGGTAGCCGGCCTCTAACTGATTGGCAACGGCCGGTGGTATTGGGAGCATGGTATCTCTGTATTAAGTCAGTTATCCTTCTTCCTAATGGACCCTGGAAATGTAACCTATAGAACCATGTTGCTCTAGAAACAACTGCGACATCGTTGATAGGAGACCAGTATATCGGCTTCATCTGAAGCACAGGCAGCGAGACCATGTGGAGTCTTGATATCCCGACCGCGACCTCGGCTACGTTGGTTTGGCTCTCCTCGGTTACTGTCTGAGTCCCTTGATTCGCGATGGTTACAGTCTCTTCTCGTTCGGAAACGACTTGAGATTGGTCTTGAACTCGAGAGGCATCCCGTCCTGGGCCGCCAAGTCCAATCAGCGGGAGAGATCCAGGTTCTGACTGTGTCTCTGGACTTCCAACACGTACGAATGGTCTACCTGATATTCCATCATCGACAACTGGTGGTCGTGTAAGGCCAGGACTGCCAACAGGGGTTTGTACTCGTGGGGATTGTGAGGTGGACAAGCTGTTTGTTCTTGCTCTCGTTTCTCCTATAGTTGATCGACGCTTAGAACTACGAGGTTCTGATGTTGTCTTGGGAATGCGGGTAATTGGGTGGTTAGTAGTGCTGGTCGAAGCGGTTCCCGGGCGGCTCGAGGGTGTACTGTTTGATAATGGCTGAGCCTCAGTTTCACCATTGGCTTGCTTTTTCAACCGATCAAGTGCGAATACGACGCGTTGCACGACTTGATCAACATCAAGGGCCGGATTTCGCCTCCTGACAAGTGCACAGAAAGCTCTCTCAAGTTCTTGGGAAACGTCAAGCACCAATTCAGAGCAACAGGCGGGTACAGGCGTTGTGGGCAGTACATCACTGGTTGGTGCTGTCACATCTTGTGGCTGATAGCCTTTCCGGTGCCTCTCCCAGTGCTTTGTAGTTATAAGTTGGATGAGCGATGCCAGCACGTCTGCATCGAACTGGGGAGTGCGGTCCAGGTTCTTCAATGCATCTTGATGAGCGCGACGTGAAGGCTCAGACATGAGACTCAGCCAAGCCTTTTCCAGCGCATTATTATCACCTCGAGAGAAGGGGCGCACTTGTCCCTTACTTGTCTTTGGGTCGGCACCAACGGTTGAGGATGTTGAAAGAGGATCGTCGATGGGGATGATGGACGAGTAGAAGAACTGGGCCTCGACCGGAGGAACCTCATCTTCGCGTTGAACGTGAGAAATAGGGGCCAGGCGACACTTGGCGCTGTAGATGTGGTTATCGTCAGTCATGTCGATCGGTGGCGGTGTCTCGCTCGGTACGCGACTACGAATTGTATTGTATTGGAATGGATGGAAGTGTCTCAACAACGGTGTCGGGTCAAGCCTCGAGCGGCAGCTGTCTATTCTGTATGAATCGGCCGTGCCATAGGTAGGTAGGTACCCAAGGTAGGTAGAGCTTGAAGCTTCCTCGCTGGTCTCTCACAAGGCCATAGAAATTGGAAGAGAAGAGAACTTGGCTAAGGTAGGCCATAGGCCAAGGCTCCAGGGCTGGCTTCACCGATCTGGGCTGCGATTCAAGGGCGCCATGACGTGAGGGATGTGCTGAACAGCCTGTCTGCCTTTAAAATGTGGGTCTGTCTCCAACGAATGCGAGTACTATGTCTTGAAACGAGTGTATCTCTACTGCCAGAGTGTGAGAAAGGATACTTCAATCTTAGGCACCTTTCTAGAAGATCCATTTGACACACCAGGTGTCACATGCATTAGTTACGCCTCTGCCACGTAGGCAAGCATGTCACTAAAAGGCACCTAAGGTACTGATAAAAATATTTGACTAAAAGCAACTTCCAAACAACAGATCAAAACAATAGGTAAGGTAACTTTGTTTTCTCCTTGAAATCATTTCAGACTACTAATTTTATGCAACTAAATTTCAAACGTACCTACAGAATGCGCAAAGCAGAGCTTCACACGTGACAAATGCTCTGCCGGCATTAGCAATGCAATCCACCCAATTCCTCTAGGATGCATATTTACACGATCCAATCGGATCCGTAAGCCAAAGCATGAACATGCGAAGCGAAATATCTTACGAATTACGGAGTATCATTATTGTGGCAAGCTAGGGTGATGACAATTAAATCCAAATCGATAGGCGATGATCCACAAACAGACCCCTGTCTCCAGTCGGCATTGTTGAATGTTGATGGGAATCATTATATTGAATCTTTATTTTCACTACATCACAAGTAGCCATGCCAGATCACTAGTGGCCTTGCTGAGTCGACTGTACTACCCTAACATTCTCGATCGGTTGACTATTCTATCTTATGCTATGCAGGTCGCCCAAGAATCTGTACAATCCATGCAACTCAGTGATGCTAGTGTGAGCCTCGGTGTAATGTAATAAAACTGCAACCGCAAGCAATCTTAATCACAAGGCGATGCGAGAGTTGAACCCGCTTGCTTTAGTCGAGCAGGAAACCTTGACAAATTGTTCTCCAGAGTGGGACTTGGGACAAAAGATCCCATTCTCAGCGAGCTTCCAGGTGAAGATTCTATTTGTCAAGTTTGCATATGCCGAGGCTAGTCGTTTCGACATGTCGCCCAGGTGAGGCTCTCGGCATAATGCATGCAGACCTTAGGTCGTTCGCATGTGGAAAGGCACCAACTGAGTTTTCCTTTTCGAGATATCTGTGTCTGTGCCTCAACCGCTACAGCATCTGCATATTAGAGCAAGGGCCTTTTATCCAGAATAAACAGTCGGATGCTGATCGGTGTACCTCCGCGGTTCGAGTACAGTTTGCCACCGACTCATCATGGTTTGTTTTGTTGATACATCCAGCCATTGGGTTTCGTGACACTGATTACTTCTTCTTCTCCAGTGAATATACATGGTCCTAAAGAATACAAGTCAGCAAGACCCAGAATTGACAAGGCACTTAGCCGTGATATCATTAGCCAGCCTACCTATTCCAATTCTAGGTCAGGTTTTCGATACCGTTTCTAACTTGAAATGCCTGGAGGAAGGCTTCTGAAGAAAGTCCAAGTTCTTCCCGATCAAGGACCTTACCACATCGATGGATTACTATGTATCTTAAGAATACATCCGAGGTGTTGTTGACGACTCTGTATCATGTTATACCCAAATCTATCCAGGACGGCGAGGGTCTAAACCGGATGGTCTGGTTGGGCTAACAATCCCTAACCCTGCGAAACCTGGGCCTTGCAAGTTGAGTGTCCCGATATCAAATCGCTTCGAACAGCCGTCCTCCATGTGTCTACCAATTCAACTGTTAGAGTTTGTGAGCGCTAGAGGGCATGGTATGCTTACCTTCTCAGAGTGTCCTTTCGAGCAAAGAGGCGTCCACAATAGTCACACTTGTGATTGCGCTCCTTCATATGCACACTCTGGTGGTGTCGTTGAAGATCGGTCTTCCGCACAAACTTCTTGGTGCACCCATCAACAGTGCAAGGAAATGGATATTCGCGCTTCTCATCATGAGTCTCCAGGTGCGATTTGTAATTGTAGCTGCGACTGAAGAACTTCCCGCATCCTTTGACTTCGCATTGAAAGTTGGCCTCCTCCTTCGATGTGTGTTTTCTGGTGGGTCTCTTGGCCTTGTTCGTCTTCAATAGTCTCCTCTCCTGGCCAAGGTCAGGAAGTTGGGTTTGCGGGGTAGAATAGAACTGCGGCAACTCATATTCTTGCTTCGGCCAGGTCGTTGAAGCACTTGCGCCGAGGCTGGAGGGCAGGTTTGAAGTGAAGGGGGCCCCGTCGGTTTGATAAGCAGCAGTAGATGGACCGGCAGTTGAGTACGGTTGCGGCTCATATCCCTGGCCATAGCTGCTCACGGAGCCTTCGACTCTGAATCTCGAGTTAGAGGGATCTTGCAAGTATCCATATGGTGGCCTTGCGCCTATTGCTGGCGCTCGCGTAGATTGGCTGGTAGAAGATAATGAGGGCTCATGGACTGATGGGTTGCGACTGGGTGACATGTAGGCGTCATGTGTCTGATATGGGGCAGGCAAACAGGAGTCGTATCCAGCAAATGCATTAAAATCCGCATGCAGGGCGTCAGGTTCTACCGAGCTTGAAGAAGCTGTGCTTGTCCCAGCCACTAAGCCGTCTGGTGTGACCCAAGCAGTGCTACCGTGGTCCATGGGAGGCGGTGATAGAAGCTCAGGCTGAGGCACTGTGAACCAGCGAGCGTGGTGGGAGTACGAATCCGAATCCAAATCTGACTGTGAAACGCCTGAAACAGCTTGCTGAAATGGAGAGCCGTAGCAAGACGGCAGGCGATTCGGGGGGCAGGAAGTGTCAGAACTGGACGAACTCGTTTCGAAGAACTGTGAATACTGCGATACGGGGGAGTTCGAGGTCGAGGGAGGTGTCAGGTACATATTTGAGGTCGTTAAAGAAAGCAAGTATGCGAGGGTCGGGTTAGAATCCGTGGGGATGCTAGGGTCTCATGAGCCATGTACTTCCGGTAGGTAGAGAACCACAGGCCACAGGCACCGTTAGATTAGGTACTGCAGTGAGTAGAGATTCATCGACCAAGTCGGGAAGCCCCATGACGGGGTATCAGTTGGATAAATACAACGAGGGCACAACCAACACGGGGGATGGAGTTATGAGCAGCAGAGACAGACGGACGGTGGCAACAAAGACGAACGTCGACCAGACCAAGTCCTGGGCGAGAGATGGACGTACGTACAGGGAAGATCGATTACTTAGATCCTCTTTGATGAAGCTACTACCATCGATGAATTAGACCCAGACGAGGATTGTCGAAGGATCAGACTCCGCCTGCATGGGGGGGTGCTAGAGAAACAGGCAAGACAGGCTAGACAGGCGAGTCCAAGGTGGGGAGACGGGTAGGTTGGCGTTCACGGCTAGAGAGCCACTGGGAAGGTGTCAAGAAGCGGGTGACGGGGCCGGGAGGAGAGCGAAATGAGGTCTAGGCCAGGATCGAGTTCGCCAACCACACGGCTGGGCCATTACGACCCTTGACAGATCTCGCGGATGACTTTGAGGTAGATAACGGTATCGCTAGGGCCGTTTGCTGTCACCAGCCAGCCAAGCAAGATGTGTGCAAGTCAGACCGTTGAGTGCCCCAAATTAGAGCATAAAACCAACCCTAACGCGAGCTAAGGTACAGAGGGCCGCATTCCGCAGCGACCAGGGTTCCTAAGACCTGAGATTCAGCTGCTTAGCACTCTGCGCAGGCGCTGCTGTTGGTGCAACGATAACGAACAAAGTAGCATAGAGGCAGAGCCTAGCCCCAACTCAGCCCAGCCCAGTCCAAGTTTGGAATATGTCCGTATTTGAACCATGTTCGTGGGTTCTTTTTCAAAGTGATGCCATCGTCCCATGAGTTCTCCACCATCAAGAACCAACACAAGAAGCCAACACCAACACACCCGGAAGATATCGAGTACGGGACACTGCGCTGTCTCTTGATTGAAGCGTGCGCACAGCCCCAATTTGGCAGGCTGGCCCATGCAGTTTAAGCACTTGTAGTGCCATGACCGCCAGGTAGATGCAGGTGCGTGAGAACCAACGACGGTGGCCCGCGGTTTTAGGTAGGTAGGTAGGTACGTAAGGTACCTAGGAACCTAGGTAAGTAAAAAACCTGTGAGCGCATTTTTCGTTGGCATCCTATGTGGTTGCTCACTATTATTATCTTTGGAGGGTAGCATGGTAGATTCGCCGAGACAGAATCAAGGAAGAGTTTGATGGTTGCAACATCATAAACACCATTCCGCAGACTGCTATAATCCCACTGGGCTCTGTTGACCAGTCAGACTATGGGGGCCATCATCGCTGACCTGTTGACGACGATTTGCGAGTTGATGTGAAATTTGTACTGTCACGTCCGCATATCAATCATCTGGTGCTCCTGAAGATGGAGGTTCCTTGGCCAGATCATGGATCGACCATATGCAGACATAGCTGCCATCAGCGTGAGGGCGAGGGGCCTTACAGTAGGTCTTGGTCTCCGTATGCGTCCGTCTCTGTCACTGAGAATGAATGGCATGGTATAGCATGGCACGGCCAACGGATCAGGTGGTGCGACTCGTGCGAGTCCGGCTCGGTGCAAGCCAGGGGAATGGTAAGGCCAAGTAGGAACCGGGCTAGATCCGAAGAGCCGATACGGCAATGTACGAGGAGACGGTTCAGGACCGAGGAAACCTCAGAGGATAATAGGAAATAAACCCCTGGTCGTACCGGTCAAGTGCTGTGTTTGGCTTGGGGCAGGGCCGTGACTCCGGCAGGTCTGGAGAATGGATGTGATATGTGGAAGCTCAAAAATCCACTCATCTCCAATTTATCCCTACACGCTGCCGTTGCACGGAATAATTAAGTGGACGCGGTCCAGGTGGGTCAGGAACTTGTGGAGTGGGCACGATGTAACAAAAGGACAGTGCTATTTATCCTTGAAACGGCCTGTGATGGCACTTCTGATGGCCCAAATGGCGCGGCTGTTTCTTAGGGAGTCTACAGTGTCTGCAACCTTACCAAATGTGGCAGCAGATATCGGCTTGTTCCTGGCCTCAACCTAAGCCCGCTCAACGGCCGGTGGCGCCCCGCAAAACGGCCAGCTTCAGCCTTTTCCATTTGTTGTCTCTATCAACATTGGATGCACGCACGCACGCACATGTTCATGTTGCAAATAGCCTCAATATTCATTCATCCCGTTTAAACACAGCCGGACCGAAGCACTGCATCTCAAGTTCATGGCACAAAATACAGTTTGAGTCTTGCCTTACCTTGCCTTACCCTACGGCGGCCTGGTCCTTCTAATCCTCCGTTCTTACACTGCGTGTACTCCGTCCGTATAGAATTACAACGTACCTTTACGCATATCTGCAGCTGAGATAGATACACCCACCAACTTTAACCTTACAGGATAAAGCCCACTTGGGCGGGGACTATAAGCCATATCCGCGTTGCTCTCGCGGATAGGTAGGTATTTATCAGAAAGCAAAATCTCTTTTCCCAGTCTATGCGTCTAGGGGAGATGATGAAGTGCATCCGGCGATGCTACTGCGCTAAATGATGACGCTGCGTACAATACACCAGCAATCGAGGAGCAAGCAATAGAACATGCGTACAAACTGCGGGTATTCATCATCAGCCAAGCAAGTCAGCTACTCAAATAGTGAGCACTCAGCGAGTGCCTCGGTGCCTTCTGATGCTGTATTTCGCTCTCCATCTCTTTGGTTCCCAATTTTTGGTCCATCCCGTCTCTAACCTCCACTAACCTAGGTACCTACCTAGCGACATACTATACGAGGTAAAGTCGCGACAAGTTTGCCCAAGTTGGCGAAAGCCAAGACAAACGTCCCAGCTTTTCCAGGGTCCCTGGTGGACCACCATTTACAGGCCTGACAGGCGCAGGCGCACCGGTTCTTTTTGCCGCCGAGACGCCAAAGCCTAGGTCCAAGTTGTCAGAGCAAGCAAGCTAGCAAGCACAATGTTCTGTTTTGTTCTGCTCCTACATAAGCCAGATTCTTCAGATGCCGCGTTGTTTCGCTTCGACTACCTCCTTATTGGCTGTTGACTCGGCTCTAATCATGAGCTGAAGAGTTCTTCAATGATCTACCGCGCAAGACTTATTTCCAAAACATCCGTTTATAAGCCATCCGTTCATAAGCGTCGTATATCGTATCGTATACAGACCAGGCGCTGGATGACTGTCATCGCCTTGGAGGGCTTGAACAATGTTAACCGATGTTTTTACTACGAATTTGAGAAAAGCTATCACCATTCAACCTGAGAAATTTCTCAAAAGATGCACAAATTTTCTTATTAGAATATTGTCCTGACAAATGTCCGTCTTCAAGATTCATATAACTTAAGCTTTGTGTGAGTACATGCAAAAAGTCAAGGGTCCTGGATAACCTGGAACCTTGCAAAGGAGCCAGTCTGTTCCTCCGCATAGCCCGGCCCGAAAACTCTGCAGCAAACAAAAACTTTTGCTGGCTGTAGAGGATGCCCTTGAGGGCCGGAGTCATAATGATACCGTCGAGTCAGAGCTTCCACAGTAATGGGGTCGATAGACTCCACGAACGAGCCCACCCAAGTTACACAAACTGCATCGGCTATTTCTTCTCATCAATGAGTTACATGGTTCAGTCAAGGTTGGGAGGATACCGCATGTAAAGATTGAATGAATAGACGCGGTTCGTGCGGTTACTATCCGTAAAGATCATGATTCGAAGAGAGTCCCAAAACTGCAATCACCGATCGGTTGATGCACAAGCTTAATTCAGAGTCAGCTCTTGACTGGCAAACTAACTGGCTCGGGGGTCGAGACAGGAGTGGATGATCCAGGTTGATAGAACGAGGGGGCATGGATGGTGGACAATCTTTGACTGTTCCATCGATTCCTGGTACCTATCACCTGCAGAAGCGACTGCATTAGGAATGCCATGGCCTATGATGAGAATGGTAGCTACTTTCTTCTTTACTTGCTTTCACGGAGGCCGTCGAAAGCAGATCCTTGATGCCTACCAGGATGACATTGCCCACCATGTTGACTTCCAAATAGCTCTTGGCAGTGTGAGTGCAACTTCATTCTGAGTGGTGACTACAGTCGATAAGGTAGTTGTTAGCTTATGATTGAGCAGTATCAAACCAAGATACCCATTCTCGCACGATTAAACGCTTCTAGTGGTAGTGCTCTTTCGCAGTTCCAAGGTGCAACACGCTATGCGGTCTCATCTGCTTCGTCGCCCATCTGGAGAAGTTGAGTGTAGCGTTGAGACGAGTTACGCCTCACCTATCCCTGCTCAACTGCTTGAATGACATGCACCGAATTAGAGTTTCCCTGACAGACTCTAAACGGGATACAGGCCATTTCCAAGTGAGCCGTGCACTGGTTATGATCGATCCCCCAGCCTAAGCCTCCCTCCTCGATCAGGGGTCCACGGAGATCCATTCCACTTGGAGGCTTCCAGGCCATGCATGCCATGATGATCTTCAAGTCGAGGATCTCGAAGATCTATCTCATGGCTAAGGTACCTTAGGTAGATAGCGTAGCGTAGCCTCAGCCTTCACCCAGTCCAGTTTCAGTCTGACAATGGAAGGTCGCACAAGACAGGTACGTAGAGCTGCAGCACCTAAACCGGTAAATTGCCCGAAATCTGCCTTCCATATTGGTTTGTTACTGCAGTACCTCCAGTATCCTTGTCAGTTGGTGGTGATCTTTTAACCCACAAGGCTTGTTTACAACCGTCGACCAAACTGCGAGTAACTAAGGTACATACCTAGACTACTGGGTATATAGCATAGGCCCGTTGAGGCGGCCGCGCCCGGGGTTGATTGTGTCTAGGACTCTAGGTGTAAGTCAAAGTCCAGAGTCTAGATCGCAATAACAGACCCTTATTTCTATTCT